TTATTGTGTTAAGTCTTGATCCAATGATGTACAATCAGCCTGCAGGCTTTACAAAGAAAGAAAAAGTAAGAACCAAGGCAAAACATCCGTCTGTAGTTCTCAGAAATGCGCTCTCAACCTTTAAAAGCATTACAATAATTCTATGTATTCAATCCATACATATGACCTTTAAAGGTTATTGCTTTTACAAAACAGTACATGCAGCTTCCAATGCTCAGATATGCAGTTACAACTTATGTCCAGCAGAGGGAGCTATACTCCAACAGCTGGAGAGGAAATGCGTCACCACTTCATAAATGCATTCTGTGTGTTGCCTTCATGCACACATTTGTTCTTCAGTTAAAGTAACAGCTTTGTTATTGTATAGTATTAGTTTGGTCCACACTTGGCCTTCAGCTCTGTACTTCCATTGTTTTCTCATGTCAGTTGCAGATTTGTAGTCTGATTTCTTTAAGCATTTTACTACTTTTGTACTATTAATGTCTTCCTTGTCAGACAATTATAGGCTACAGAAAATAAATTAGGTAGTGCAAATTTTTTAACAATACTCCAAAATGTATAAAATACCCTTTTTATCAAACCGTTGGAATCATATTTATTTAATGTGGGCTTATCGTAATTCCTACTATGTATCTGAATAATACTCCTTTTTTAATTCTAAATGGTAGCCTATTTTTGTTTTTATTTCACTCATATATTTCAGCAATTTTCATTAATATAACATAAATGAATGTATTCTCCTGGCAGTTACTAAGCGTAATTGTCAGTCTTTTACATTTTTCTCTATAATCTGTTTTATGTATGGATGGACTTTCATTATATGCTTTCTTCAGATATATAATTCCTTCTTTTTTTTACATGGACCTTTGCTAAAGGTTAAGTCAAATGTTTAGTTTTGAGACAACATTAAGGTATACAAATTAGAAAGACCATGTTTCATTCAAATCTACTTCAAAAGATATTTAAAAGTTCCTCTGCCTCTTCTATTCTTCCCAGTACATACAACTTGCACCTGCATTTGAACTCTTACCGCCCAAGGGTGTTTAGGAAACAAAGAGCTCATATCACCGCGCTGAATACAAGCCAAACCAGCCTTCAAATAAGTTCAGCGGTTAAGTTCAGCGGTGCGATTTCCCTATTCTCCCATCTCGTCATGTGATGATGAAAAGCTTGATCTTGTGATGCAATCTAAACACTCAGTGTGACACAAACACTCCGGGGCCAGTGTGGACAGACACTGCCTTGTTGTTAATAATATTCAGTAAGCAGATGATACTCCTGCAGCTGCTGTTTAATCTCTCCACTAACCTATGATAAATGGTCCGAGCCCGGGGACCTCAGCCCCCGTTTCCCCTCTCATCATCACACCTGATATTTCTCTAAGCAAAGAAAAATGTGTTTTACTACGTACTAACCCCTTGTTAGGAGTGAATACGGTCATATGACTTACCCTCATTGTGCTCTTTCTTTGTGTCCAGCTTTCTTGCCTTTGTATTATTTGTCAGTTATATTTCAAAATCAGAGGATGTGAAGTCCTTGCTGTTTGTCTACTCAGAAAGAAAATGTTTGACCTGAAACTTATTGCTCATTTTCTTTGCAGAGTTAGAGCAGCTTCTAACTATGTTATCACAATAAAATTAAATTGTTATATCATATTTAAGTGGCTTTTTCAAGTAAATATATCATCTCTGCTTATTTAATAACTGAACAATATTCACGCCCACATAAATAACACGTAGTACATGGGAAGAATAATAGTGCTCATGTCATAAAAAACATTGTGAGTTTTTTGACATAAGTTGACATTCAGAAGCAACCCAGAAGAATCAATGCTTTGTACTGTAGATCCAATCAAGCTCCACCCATCAAACCATCCATCCATCCGTCCATCCCATCCCTCATTCCAAAATGCCGCTTTTCCCTGTAAAGTTTTACAGTGATGCCAGAAAACAATATTTCTAATATCAAAAACTGTATAATTACTCACATTTCACATAACTGTATTAGGTTAGTTGAAACTAATGTGTTTTATTTAAATTTAATGTTATTGCTTTCAACTAACCTAATACAGTTATGTGATACATTTAATTTAAGTCAATTTTCAATTTGTCAGTGTATATATATCATCCATCTATCCGTATATGGCATTCATCCATCCATCCGTCCATCCACCCAACCATACATGCATTCATCCATCCATGCATCCATCCCTCCACCCATCCATTTATGCGTAAATCCATCCATCCATAAATGTTCTGCTGGATATTGTGGTTTGGGTTGTGTGGTGCAGGCTAACTGGCCCAGACCTCCTCATCTCCAGCCATATCTTCCATGTCCAGCAACATCCTGAGGCATTCCCATGCCAAATGGGATATTTCATCCCTAGATCACCTCCCAGTTAGACATGCCCGGAGCGCATCCAGGAAGGGGTCCCGGGGGGCAGCCTCATCAGATGGTTGAGGCACCTCCTCTGGCTCCATTCGGCACTCAGCCACATTGGCTCTGGGCACTTTCTGTATGCCTGGGCTCTTCACTTTGTTCTAGAGAGTCAGTAACCCTGCGTAAAGAGCTTGTTTTGACCACTTAGATCCTAGATGTTGTCAGCTCACTCTAAAACATAGGTGATAGTCATGGAGCGATGACGGGTAAATCAAGAGCGTCACCTTCAAAACTCTCTTCACTTGCATCGATGAGGACGTCACACCCTTCTACCCCGTGGATATCATGCTTCACGTCACTGGCCATAGTGAACAAGACCAGTAACCATGGCCACAGTGCAACCAAGCTTGCAGAAGTACACAATTAAACTCAAACTGAATTGGAATTCCCTAACAATGCCACTATCAATGTTTTGCAGGGATAAACCCACTGATAGTAGATGGTGCCATTTCTGTGCACATGTAGACGTAGATGCTTATTATTATTGAGCCTTGAGCAATACTCTGGTTTTAATAAGGTTAAGTGGAGAAAGCTGACTCACAGCTGTAAGTCAACCCAAACATGTTCAAGTGCTACCTTGGACAGAACATTGTGCTCTATGTTTTCATCCCTTTCAGATCTTTCTTTGGCAGGTGTTCTCCCAACGGTCTCAAATGATAAACAATTGATTTGATTGGCCCAATTCAGTAAAACTATTGTCATATTATGTTGATTACGTGAATGCTTTCTGGCTAACATCCGGTTGGCTCTGTACTTACTTTATTGGGGATCAAATAAGTGTGACACTCAAATGAATCTACCCATTTAAAGACGGAACACGATGAAGATGGCGACGGCAAAACCTACAACATATTGGCAGATTTATCACTGTTATTATAGATGTTATAAGGAACATTTTCACGATTGTTTTATTGCCGAGGCCTAACCCAAATGTAGTTTCCTTCAGCTCTTGAAAGCTTATTGTTTTTGTTTACTGATGTGCAACTTTACTGGCTTTGTTTAATCTCGCTGGTCAAGCCCTACTGCATGCTACTGGCCCACTATCGAGCAGAGGTTGAGATTAGCCGGTAAACAAGATGGAGTAAATAGCAGCTAAAGAAGCATTTGTTGGTTGATGGGGAACAAAACATAGTTAAAAGCTGTGAATATTCTATGATCATACATTCATTTAGTGAACAAGAACCCACATGATGCTTATGTTGCTTCATATCTGCCTGATAAGAACTGTTTGCTATCAGTCATCATATGGGAACTCATAGGTAATGTTATGGCAGTGTTGTGTTTGGATAAATGAATTGTGTAAGAGTAAAAGTGCACCAATTTAACATTGCTTCAATTTGTTGTCCTCTACAGAACATAATAGTTAATAGTATGGTAATAGTCAACATTATTTATAACATTTATTATGTAACATTTGTTATTTAATTTTATTGTTAAAAGCACATGGATATATTGTATTGGATATATTATAGCTTAGTAGTGCAAGTATAAGTATATGTAGTATTTATTTACATTGTATGAAAATGTTGAGGTGGGTGTTTTACTTTGTATGGGGATGATGGAATATATATGGAGTACATATTCCTATATTATTAATAGTTTACATTTATATTATTTGTAATGTCAAAACCATTACATTTAGTATAGGGCTACTGCTAAGCCTTTTATTATGTCTTAACGTTGTGAAAAGCACAGGTGCCTGGCGCCAAAAAGAAAAAAAAAGAATTCTGACGTCAGCCTGGTGCAGATCCTCAACTAAAAACAATCAAAGCAGATCGCTGTGAAGCGCTGGGTTTCAAATGCAGTTTTTTTTTTCCCACATGACGATTCAGCAGAGCGAGCGCTTGTTCATTGAATTATGCGTCGCACCTCTTCGTCATGACAACTAGCAGTGGGATTGAAATATTGCAAGTGGTGTCCTATGAGAGAGCGAGAGAGAGAGAGCGAGAGCGAGAGAGAGCGAGTGAGAGAGAGAGGCTTTAGACCGCACTGAGAGAGAGAGAGAGAGAGAGAGAGAGAGAGAGAGAGAGAGAGAGAGAGATATCTCCTAGATAGATATAGAGAGAGATATAGCGAGCGATAGAGATAGAGATAGATAGAGAGAGCGATGCTGCTGGATCGAAGGAGCTCTCTCTCTCAATCTTATCTCTATCCTCCTCGCTCTTCTCTGCTCTCTTCTCTCTCTCTCTCTCTCTCTATTCTCTCATCTCTATCTTCTCTCCTCTCTTACTCTCTATATCTCTCTGAGAGAGATGAGTGGGGGGGCTGTTGAAGCACGAGCCGTGGTATCCTCTTCATTGCAGATATCGGGCTTCAGAAAATAATATCACTGCTACTATTTAAAGCTCTATTTCTAAAGCCATGAAGGCTAAACGGAAGATCCCCGCGCTGTTTCTCAGTCTGAGCCTCTATTGTCTGTGGTGAGCATCACAAGTGAAACCAAGGGAGCGCACCACGCAAGCGCGTAAAGAGATTGGACACCTGATTTTGTGGGGTGTCTTTAGAGCGCTATTCCTATTTTTTTAAGTCAAACAATCCGTGTTTTTTCCCCAGGCCCTCGCTGTGCTGCGGTGGGGGGCAGATACACCGTGGATTATAATAACCAACATGGACAAATGAAGGAAAGAGGACAGATCACTGCGTTGACTTTTGAAGCAACGCGCAGAGTCTTGACGCTAGCGTCTATTTTACAGTGAGCGCCTTTCCCCCCCCCTCTCTCCTCTTTGATTCCCACTCGCTGCTCAACATTAGAAAAGTCCAAATATCTGTGTGGATAAGGAGCACAGAGCAGGGTGTTGTCAGAGAGGGATGAGAGGAGGAGGGGGCATGTATGAGGTGTGCTTTTTTTGGAAAAGCCGGAGAAAGACGGACACCGAGAAGGTGTTCTGATGTGCGAAAGCCTGCGACGCGCTGCCCTCCTGAGAAATAATTGTGATCAGGGAAGAAATGGCCTAGTTAAAACATCATCGACACACCGGCAGAGGATAGAAACAGAAGAATCGTGTTCCGATGGACGGGCCATCACCACCGCCATCATCATAATTCCAGTGCTTGCATCGAGTCTTTTTTAGGTAAGCCGTATGTCCACCGCTACCTCCTAAACGTGACTGGAGATTTTCCTGTCTATCATAGGTGTTATGTGTGCGCAATATGTACGCTTTGGTGACTTTGCACATTGCGCACGTTATCCATCTTGACGCACTGTCACAATTGGGGGAAATGAGATGTCCATGTAAATCCTCGTGCCACTTTGTTGCTATAGCACATTATTTTTCTTCCTTTCGAGTGGAAGCCTTCGATTGGCCTTGCCTGTTGATAAGCTGTCACATCCTAACATGATCCGACTACTTTGTGCCTTCAGCATCTGTCGTTTTCAGCTAATGATATTCATGTGATTTAATTGGAATCAACTCATCATGTAGGCTGTCAATCACCCAGGATGTTTGGCTACATTATAGGCTCCAATAATGTCATTTTCTCCCTTGGTGTAGGTTATTTCGATAATGTGTTGATGGCTGTGTTAATCAAACACACATGCTGCAATAGAAACTCATCTGAGTCAGAGTGGGTGACAGGCCTTGAACTCAGAAGATGTCCTCTCGCTCGTTAACAAACCTCACAACACACTCTGAGACACACACAGTATGCTCTAACAGAGACACACGAAGCCTGTGCCGGAGAAGATGCAGATAGCATTGTGAATTAAATGCACAGTCTGATGATCCAGGGAAAGGCTCCATTAATATTCAGCGGTGGTTGGGCAGTGCTCAGTTAATGGCAGACAACAGGACCTCTGTTCTGACAGGTCATGGATGAGAAATGGTATATTTTCTTTTTTGGAGATTTAATGGCGTTTTCTACACTGAATCGTTGCCCGTAGCTTGGGGCAAGTGACATTTAAAATCCATCAGAAAACCAATAAAGTGATTTTGTAGAATTTTTTAGTATGACTCTTGTCCATGTACTGCTGGAATAGCTGTGATTGGTTTCTTAAGCCTGCGTCATGTCAACTTGGTTACTGGCATTTGGACACTTAGATAGACCAGAACATGGCTGACGCCTTCCATTGGCTTTTACATGCCTTATTTACTGCAATATTTATCTCAAAGAAGTACATGGTACCCAGAGTAAAAATTCAGCAGAAGTGTATACCTACCCCCACATTTAAATATCTTTTGGGAACATTTAAAATTATATTTCTTCTAAGCTAATAAGAACGTTATCTCAATATTGTGATGGTCCATTTTTGTTTCTAGTAGGGCTCAAACAATTAGTGGTCAAATTAATAGGTAATTGTAAACTATTTTGATCTTGAAGTGAATATCTTTGGGTTTCAGACTGACTAAAAAAGGCATACAAAGACATCACCATGGGCTTTTAGAAAATTCTGACATTTTATAGACCAAATGATTAATCGAGAAAATAATCAACCCTTAATTGTGAGTGTTGGGCCAAATCTCTAGTCCCTGACGGATTTGGTGACAAATCACATTACAAGATGATGTAGCACAGTGAAATCATACACCATCTCTCAACCAAACAACATTTCAAACTTTAACATCTAGAACTGCCAGCATTGTTTTTCCTCACCAAGCAAAAGATACTGTGACTGCAACCGTTCCCTGCATATTGTATCCAATAAACTACAGCAAAGGGCCAATGAAGATAATATTGTGGTGAGCACAGTGTCGCTTGGTTTCCAGAGGGAAAACAGGAAAGATAAATGGAATTAAACCAGAAAGAATGGCGGATTAATGGATCGGATGACAACATGTAGCGGAGACTTACAATCCAGAACAAAACGTGTTAAGTCTTAATGTTTAATGAAGTATGTTTGGGTGAGCAAGGTGAAGTGTGGAAAGGTGTTCAATGTTCATCAGTCTTACAGGATCAAAGCCGGAGCTTTCTTCAAGGAGGACAAGGTTGATGCTGAGTTGTTTTGTAGTATATATGCTGTATACATTATATAGCTGTTTTTGAGAGATCAGCCTTGTCAAACATCTTGCTTATTTCCATAACAAAGGCTTGCATTTTAAAGGGGTAGTTGTATATTAGCTTGGTATTGTCCCATACTCATAGGCTTTTGTAATTCCTGTACATGTAATGTTGGTTAAAGCTTAAACTTGAGTAAGTAAAACAAATGAATCTGCATTGTTTTTTTAGCTGCTAACTGATGGCTCAGAGCATTGTCATGGATTGAAGTGCACATTGAGTACTTAAAAACAATACATGGGTCAAAAGGAATTTGGCAGTTGGTGAAATGGCCCTTTGGTTTAATGTGAAGCTGCAGTTATGTGTGGATTCATTTGTTTCGTTCCATTTAATAAACTATATTAGATGTTCCACTTAGTCAACAAGCTTTGCTATGAGCCAATCTAAAGTCCTTCTGTATGTTAGCAGGCTGTTGGTGGTGCTATATGGTCATATGCTCCTTGCACTATTAAGCACTACAGACTATGATGTGCTTTATACAATGTAGGTAGTAAGTGAAGATAAGCAGAGGTGTCATCAAAGTATGATACATGTGTATTTTTACTTGGTTAGTTATATTATCTGCACACAAAATGCATGAAACTTTATGAAAGGCAGTTCCAATTTTGTTTTATTTCAATAGTTCCTACATGTTTTAGCATATTTAGCTCTCAATTTCCATCCCACTTTGTAGTCTGTGCTAGGGCTGTACAGAATAGCTTACAGCCTTGAAGCTTCATTCTTAACATTGCCATTGTAATTCTAAATCAACAATTGAATACTGCGCTTTTTCTTTTTATAATGTATATTTATTCAGTTTAAACCCAGTATCTCTGCACAGTTGACAGATACAGATTAGACTACAGTCATAGTATTAGTAATATAATATGTGTATAGTTAGATTCTAGTGGTGGCCATGCTCTGACTGGATATATTCTTTACAGAAAGACAATAAAAAGTAATTCATTTAATACGATTAATCACTTTATTCAAATTGAAGATAAAACCTATTTTTTTAGGATGATGACATCATTAAATATGACATGGAAATATCAAAGTTTAATTACAAAAGTGACATTAGTAGTCTGTGGTATGGTCACTGCTTTCTGTAACCGGACATTTTTAATGTAATGCTCTTAGTACTGTTAGTTAAAAAAGAAAAAAATGCTTATATATCTACAGTATAAGTCCTCATTAGATGCTGTACAGTGTCATGCTGCCATCACAAGAGGCCGCACTGGAAAAAGTGTTAAACGAGTGGTCTCCTTGCAAAGACGTATTCACACTTGCAAAAAAAAAAAAAAAAAAAAATTGCAAAAATGATATGCATTCTAAATGTCAAGTCATTATATATTCTCATGTTTTGCATTTGCACTTGATGTGCCTTTGCCATACCATTTCATTGTAGGAACTGCAGATCAAGGATGCGGCTAGAGAGAAATTACCAAACATCATTGTGACCGTTATTACTGGTAGTGTAGTAATTTAAACCAGCAGATCATTTGGGGGAAATGGCGATCCTGTTGCAATGTTCACTCTATGGCTGAAGCATTGAACAAGGGTAACATTTTAATGACAACATAAGGGACAATTTTGACCAGGGTAGGGGTGTCACAATTCCAGAAATTGTTTCTACAGTTAAAAACACTAAGATATACCTCATGTACGTCAACATTCACTGCTTCATTACCATTGGCATACTGTTCAATACATTAAACAACTGTATTTGTGTACTGTATCCTAAACACATTATCCAGGACGACAGTGTGAGTATAGCGTCAGGTTTTCAGATTTTCAACTTGCCATGCAACTACCGTTTCTTTTGACCACTCATAGTCCAGTGGTCAGGTATTTAATCTGCCACTAAGGCTTAAAAAATAATGAAGTAATTTAAAAAGTGATTGGTGTTTGTAACATAGTAATCTCTTTCAACAGAATTCTGGTAAACACTTGTGTGGCAAACAAAAAAGACAGAAATCTTGTAGAAAAAACATGTAGACTATAGACCGTCACAGTATAAGAAGTCTTAGCTTGGATATCTGCTGGTTAAATTAGAAGCCACGAAATTGGGGTCCCAGGTTTAGTCATAGCTGATTGGTTCCAAGATTGGTAAAATAGTAATACTGCTGTATCAACTTGTCATCATTACTTCCAAGCCAGCACCTTCCATGATATCAATTTTGTGTCTCTTCTGAGGTTTCCCTCCTATTTTTGTTTTTATGGCACAACTCTATGAACTGTGTGTCAGTCCCTAAAGGAGAGTCTGCAGGATTGTACATTTTCAAAGTGGTTTCAAGCACTCGAAAGGCCCACTGGACAGCGCTTGTATTCTCACCATCTTTTTTGTATGGTCATACCACAAGTCATCAGATATATATCAAGAACATTCTTCAAAATCTGTAATGTCCGTTGGGCTCAGGGGTTGGACATTGGGATTAGACGTATCCTTTCTAACTGCTGCACCAACTGCACTGCATTGATTTGCAGTCCAGAAAGCTACACATTAATAGCATAAAAACGGAATTCTTTCTAGTTTTTTTACAATTTTTAAAATTGAAGAAAAGTCAGCTTAGCAGCATGGAAATTCAGCCTATATTAATTAGTTTTTGACCAGCTTTAAAGTATCGACTAGGGATATGACCAGCATGGTTTCTAACCGAGGTGCAGAATCCAATGTAAAGGACTACTTGCCCGGGTTAATGGTCAAGATGCTGTGATGGAGGCTAGGAGCTTTAATTTCTGCCCAAAGGTGTCAAGTCAGAGAAAGAGACAGGTTAAAATGACCCAGCTCTCAGTCACGTCACGGACAAGGAGGAGAAGAGCAGGAGATTAGCTTGACCTGACCCATTCACCGTGAGCAAAGGAAAGCTGGAGAAAACGCCTGTCCAAATACCATGGTAACCATCTTGTGTAACCTCCTCTCAACAATATCACATAACAGTCATCCATGAGATAAGCAAGGATGAGTGCTGTCCTGTCTTCTGAAGTCTGGGGGGAATATCACACAGATCCCCATTCAAATATCTGGTCATTTAATGTGCCTTTTTATTAGAGGCAGAGATTCTAGCCCATTATAACGGGACACGTGACCTTTCCTGTG